CTAAATAAATAATCTACATATTATTTGTAAATAATAATATAAATGTAATACAAATAATAATATAAATAATAATATAAATAATGTAATACAAGATATAAATATGAAGATCTTAACTAATTAAAATATAAACATGTGTTCTCAAAATTATTTAATAAGATTAAATGATAATTTTGACTAATAATTAATGTGAAATTCTATTATATAACAACATTAATAATTAATAAAAGCTTATTTTTGCAGGAAACATAGTGAATAAAATTATTTTACTAATGGATGCTTGATTGATCTTAACTGGAAGTCGACAGGTGCAAGTAACGTACAAAACAGCATAATCCACTGACTTCGAAGCCCAACTGATCATCTTTCCAGTTTTAATATTGCTTTTATTTGAAGAACCTACTTATTTTATTAAAAACAAAGTGAATAAATTTATCTTGTTAGCGAGCATATAGTAGAAATAATAATTTTTAGTGAACTTAGTGAATTTGACTTATTTTGAGAAGCAAACATAATGAATTTGACTTATTTCGAGAAGCAAACATAGTGATTTTTTTTGTGACAATAGCATAGACTTATTTTTGTTAGTTATTGTAATAAATAAAATAATAAGGAAAGTACATAATTTTGAGGAACAAACATAGCGATAGTGATTTTTTTGCGAAAATAAACTTATTTTGTTAGTGAATAGTAAAAGTAGTAAGAGAAGAATTTATTGTAATAAATAAAATAATAAGGAAGTAGAAAAGTTTATGTTCAGTACCATGATGAAATTGGCAAAATTACAAACAGCAAATGCGAAGTTTTCGTTGATTATTGACAGTGCTAATAATGTTTGATGTATGATTATCATTCCCTCTCGGAGAATCGATATCCCCGATTCCGACGTGTACATCAGCCACTCTGATCACGTGATGGACTACGCTTTAATCGCTCCCCTTTTTTAGATACGAGAAAGCTAAATTTTGCACTCCATCGAACACAAGAATAGTGAACCTTTTTATTGGCCAGATGTCATGTGAGCGCAACAGATCTCGGGCGGCTACTGGGGTAGTTAAAATTTTTATAAAAGTCCCTCACATAATTTGGTGAAATCTCATTTCCCGATATTAATATATAGCATTTATTAATTATCGTCAAAATCGTGTTGTAAACATGTCAAACTTCTTCGAAGCACCCGCCGAAAGTTGGACATATAGTGCTATTGCGGAGAACTATGGCGTTAGCGACGACATCAGTCGCATTTTCCTCCGCATTAAAAAGGATCTGGAGGAACGTGCGGAGAAGAATGATCCAGATGGCGCGCACGCAGACCGGATTCTGAAGGTTCATTGGCAAGTGCGTAAAGCAATTACTGTGAGTTTAGAGTATCCCTTTGGACGTCGTGGCATCTAGCTTGGTTACTGCGTGTCGCCTTGTGATGGATGCGTTCCGATGCCCTTTTGGCAGCTAAGCTGGGCTACTGCGTGTCGCCCGTTACGGTTGCGCACCGCTGCTGAAGCGGCCGAAGGGCATAAGTATTGTCCTGTAAGCATTGATGGGATAACCGCTAACCCGTTCCAAGCTTTTTCCCCTCTCTTAAACAGAAACTTGTTGCAAACATGAAGAAATGCTTAAGTATTGACCAGATCAAGGTGAACATAAGAATTTCTGCATAGTAACCTTTCAAGCTAGCACTCATTATTGTTAACTTGCAGCATAAAGCAACCATCGCTGCTTTCACTGATGGAGCAGAATCCATGTCAATAGCCCGTCAGGCAATTCTTACTGATCTCGGTATGGACAATAATCCTTTTCTTAAGCGCGAGGCTAGTGCCGATGGTCTCGTAAGTTATTTCATCTTAGTAGGGTGTCATTGTCTGTTGACATACTGGTTTGTCAATCTCAGTGGATCGTCCTGTTTCTTGTCCGAGTCTATCACTTCTAGCATATCTTGCTTAAATGCTTAAGAGTTTTGAAATTTGATTTCTTTCTAGGAACCTAATTCAACAAACAAAAGACTCTGTACCCCTTCGCCGTTTTTACGATCTTCGTCGCCCAGTGCAGAAATTCTCTTATCTGATAGTGACGATGAACCCAACTCAAAGTTTTCATTGCCATCTGACTGCCCAGTCATTATTAATGATGTAGTGGGACTGCAACTGGGATCTTTGCCGCGGAAAGAATTCAGATGGGTCGTAATGGACGTTGACATTTCTGATAAATGGCACCTATTCAAGGAGACGTCCTTGAAATTGGCCAAGGAGGAAGGTCTTCTTGTGGAAAGCCACGTACAACAAATACTATATGTTTTTATTTCTTCAACTTACTGAATATTGCAGAAGTCTGATTACAATTGTTTTTATACTTTAGGTCTCTCTCTCACATCCTTTTACTAAAGCCACAACAACATTGCCCGTTGATGGTGGAGGTATTTGGGTTTAAACTATTGGAAGCAATGTATAAGGATGTTGTGCGGAGGCTCACCGAGCAAGAAACGGAGTTAGATGCTGAAGTTTTGATAAAGCTTACCCGCATTGTTAAGGTATGTTTTCTCCATTGCTCTTATTCGATGTTTGAAAGTTCACTTATTCTATCTTTTCTTGCTATAGCGCCTCCAACGAGAGGAGTTCGTGAGATACGGCGGTTTCAGAATTGCAAACACTTGCGGTTGGTCGTGCCTATGGAGAACGCGCGGTTTTTAAGGCGTTATGAACGTGTAAGATTGCGCTTAACTGTCAGAGAAATTTTTTTACAGTAACTAACACTATTAGTATCGAAAGAGTGCCGCGAGTCACGTTGAAATCCTCCGTTGGAGAAATAGAACTATGCACCACGTACATTGATCCAGTTCTCGCCCCAGTTTTCGCGGATCCGGACCGTGGTGTATTTTTACGGTGGTAAACCTGTTGACTAAAAGGGGACATGGGGAGGCAAAGGTGCAGGAAGAGATGAACAACCTCTACAGCCTTTGCGCTGATCTTATCCGGGTTGCTGTATTTAATAAAGATGCTATCGACTTTTATAACAAGAACTGTGTGCTCGGATTTCAAGTTGTCGGTAAGATTCCAACTTAGATTTTTACTTTATTTTATTTTGGTTCACATCACATTGACAAAAGCTTGACAGGACGGCACATCACATTTTACCTCACCACTCTTTTATATGACGGTCTGTACGTTATGGTGGAGGTTGGTCATATCGATGTGCCCATGTCACTTGAGCAACTGCCTGCCTTCATCGCCAGTCTCGACACGCTCCTCGTTGTCTCCAATGCGTTCTGGACTAATTGTGCTACGACCCGCCCTGCTGCCGAAATGGAGCCAAACAAGCGCGACACCAAACTTTAACAAGCTAATTGCACAAAGCCGTGATCGACCTCGTTCATGCCAACTAAGATTTCAATTGTATGATATTAGCTGAAGTGCCTTCCTTTGAAGAAATCACCTTTGGATCACATTAAATCATTTGATTTTCCGCGTAAGATGCGAGAATATCATATCCCTACATAAAATGTAAGAAGAGCATAGCGTAACGTAAAAGTTTCCCATAGCAACTTGACTAACTTATTGACATGTTATACCCACGATGTAAAATCACATATTTGAAGTCACATCTTGTACATTTCACATTGTAAAGTTAGTCACATCATGTATGCCAAATCACATTGTCGAAGTTAGTCATATTGAACGTCCTTATCACGCTGTAATCGAAGTTACTATATGCCTATCTTTATGTTGTGTATATTAGTATAAACACCCCCCCCCCCGGATTACTTTAACAAATCAGAGATTAACTCAACAAATATCTTAGCGAGTAATTTTTCACGAAGAGCAAATTCTAATATTATACAAGCCCGAATGTCTTGAACTTGTTAAAAAGAATAAAAGATATGGCTCCTTTGCTTGTTATTGTATAGAAACAGTATTATGTGGCGACACTTTACTAGCATGAGCTCCAACCAATTGAAGATGTTTGGGCTGTGGTAAAAAGTTGCAAAGTCTGGTCCAGGTTATTGGCTATTAGGAATAAACTAATTTTTTTTAGTTATTGACTACTCAACTTTTAATTCGTATTGACTGAATAATTGATTTATCTAATCAAAAAGAAACGAGGTATCTACATTATTGCTTACCCTCTTAGTCACAAGTGATTACTAATTTCACGCCTTAATTCGCCTTGAATTCGGCCATATTAGATGAGAAGCAGCCAGAAGGAACGATGTCTTGTGTATTATCAAGTCGTTTCTTTATTGTCAGAACCTAATTAATTTGAAGCATGATCCTACTGTATTTTATACAACATTATTTATTGGTTGGTATCTATCCTACACTGACTTTATATCAGATCACAAGCTGCCTTTGAGTTAGCTAAAACGCATCCTCTTATATATATCTGTTTCCGCAATGAGGGCTCAACTGGATACCCACCTGCAACTGTGAACGCGATTGAGCCAAACCTGAGGGTTCAATCTCAGCAATCGTTTCAGTGATGGGCTTCCCTGCGTGTCTACGTCATAAACTGCGCCACAATAGCCATCTGTGTTACAGCTTATAACATAACCACATGTCTAGACGAATATTTCCCGATCTTCCATTCCTTCCAAGAGAGGGAGAGAAGCATAACTCTAGCCTCGCTTAGTTCAACAATGTATAATACTCTTCGCTGGGCGTCGAGCGTTAATACCATTGCACGGAATTAATCCAAGCTAAGTAAATCATTGACGAATACGTATCATAGACAACGAATCCATTAGTAATTGGTATTACTAATCAATCACCGTCGGAGTTAAATTCCGGCTCAGTGAATTGGACAGCAAACCAATTATGAGCACTACTCTTGCGAGCGAATTTAACTTGTCGAATATTCAATAGAATATTCCCGTTATTCAACATGAGTTATTCATCCCCTAGGTAGGATGTTATCCATACTCAGTTGACAATAACGATGATATCGTATATAGCAATGAAATTACTTCTTCGATGGTTTTAGCGAATATCGTCGTCTGCAAGCACACGACTGGTAATAGTAAATCCCAAACATGAAAGATTATACCATTACATCAACTAAATAGTTCGTTCGAATATTACGCATAATAAAGTTTCTTATTCGCATAACAACATCGGAATGGCCTTTCCTCAGTTGGTTAAGAAAGTTACTAAGTGTTCGCTACGCAGAGATGTACGATAAATTTATCATACTCCGAGTCGACGGAAAGACTCGTTTCCCGTATTGAACAAATAGTAATATTAACACAACCTAATTAACTACTCGTTCGTTCTAGCGTAATATCATTACTTTCGAATTATTTCGAATAATAATCGTCTAATACGTTGACGAATTCAGGATGTGAGAGAGAGGGTACCGCAATCAAGTTTCGCCCCATCATCATCGTTTCATCACCAACATATCTTCTTATTACATTCAAAATATCGAACGTAACAATAAATACACTTTCAACATTCATTAATTATGATCGTTCTCTGAGTCTTAACCTTGCGGGGGACTCTTCGAATAGCATAATATTCAACCTTTCGTTATAACGTTCGCTTATAATTATCGAATTAATTGTACACTACTATCGAGTTTCAATATTCATCGAAACAAGGGTTCGTTATACGTTAAATCCAATATTAAAGTCGATCGTCAAATTCAGGGTCAATATGCATGGTATTATTATAGAATCATCACCACATTAAGTAAATACAAAAAAAGATATTTATTAGTAGTAGTGTTTTCTATTCTAAATTAATAGAATAGAAGAAGCCACATAGCACTGTGATCCTAAAGCAACTGAATTAAAATATTAACTTACAAAGATAGATATTGATTGAACATATACATTATGAGATTATTTATCTGAGTCTGAAACTCATAACAGTGTTGTTACAGCCTGTAATTATCCCTAATTCCTTAATTTCTTAATTTTAGTCATGTGATAAAATATAGATTGAAGAGATAACAGAGATAGCAGAGTTCTCAGACATATTAACATTATTCGTTATATCATATTTATCTAACATGTATAACATATTTTATATTGTAATAACTTAATCATAAAAATATTTTATATAAATAAAGAATCTTTTGGATAGATCAAAAGGCATCAATTGATCAATACAAAAATCTAGCTAGTTAATAAGCTGTTCCTTGTTTATTGTTAATGAAATTTGTATATTAATTGATTAAACAATAACTTATTAAAATACTTGCATTTATTGTGCACTATTGGACAACTGTCAAAGTTACTATAGAATATCAGTATTGTTGTGATTAAATATTTTCATAATCACAAATGATCATCTCACATGATCACTTCACAT